TACTTTTCTTCATAAACTTTTTGTTACAACCTGCTTCTTTTGAAAAAAAAACTGTGTATCCGCACTACCTTTCTTTCAAAAAATATGTGTATTTAAAAACAAGATGACCTGGGTGGGGCGCTGGGTGGTCGAGTTGGGCTTCAGCCGACTGTCACGATCTCGCGGTCCGTGAGTTCGAGCCCTTGCGTCAGGCTCTGGGCCGATGGCTCAGAGCCTGAGCCTTGTTCCGATTCTGTGTCTCCCTTCTCTCTGCCCCTCCCCCGTTCATGCTCTGTCTCTCTCTGTCCCAAAAATAAATAAACGTTGAAAAAAAATAAAAAAAAAAAAAAGATGAGAGTGACTTACAGTACACCATAAAGGATGTCGAGTGGCCTCAACTACGCTAGGTACGGTAGAATAATCTTAGAACCATCCCTTTAAGACGCAAGCCGGGCGACTCGCACACCAGCCGCAGCTCAGGCCTACTCTCCCGACCGCAGCCAGCCCGCGAGGCGGGAACCTGCGCGCCGCGCGGTGGGTGTAGAGTGCGCATGCGCCAGACCGCCCAGTTCCTCTCCTCCCGGAAGTGCCCGGCGGGTGGTTTGAGTGGTCCGCTGGACGCCGAGGGGTTGGCGGCTTCCCCGGGAAAGAGGTCCGCCGATAGGAACCGGGGTTAAGTTCTGGCAGGGCCAGCAGCGGTTCCCGCACCTCCCCTCGTAGTCCTACGTTGCTTGAAGAGGGGCCAGCGCACCTGAACCCCATAGGGACTAAGCCCTGCTACAGTCACAGCTGCAGACCCTGAGGACCCGGAAAGGAAGAGCCGGGAACCTCTGTAGTCAATGCCGGCAGCTGGTGGAAAATTTCCAACGGAATGGGGGTGGGGGGTATGATGAGTTCTCCAAGCAATGGATTAATTTGAAGTGAATCTGAAGGCACTTCAAGTGAACGCGCTGTTGAAGTGTCCAGCCCCAGAGGAGCAGTCCTGGATGCCTGGTGCTTGTTTAGCTTTCAGAGTTTGGTAAGGAAAAAGCAGATCAGATGTTCTCTAAGTCATTTGATTTAGCACCGCTTCTTGAACTTCTTTCTTGTTTAAGGTCGTCCCTCTCACCTGATGGTGACCTTTGGGGTAATATCGCACAGGATGTGTAAACTTGAAAAAGATCTTTGTCAACATTGCATTATAGCTTGGCTTGTTTCAAGGCAGAGCCGTCTCTGCTAAAGCATCACCCTGAACTTGGGGGGAAGGGGAACAATGAACAGTGTAAAGTCGGAGAGAGTAGAGCAATGCCCTCATGATTGAAAAATGCGGAGGATGATCAAGTAGGCACTGAAAAAGAAGTGGACAGAATCTTCGAAATATTTAGAAGTCAGTCTTGAGACACTCCTAAGACATCTCTAGCCTTTTCCTCAGTGATTGATACAGATCCCTTTTCTTGCACTGTGGAAAATATTTTTCATATATCCTTCAATATGAGAGATGGTTTAGCAAGAGTGAGCCTTGAGCCTGCCAACAATAGAGGCTCTTAGTATTAATAAACTAAATGAAGTCACCAGAATCCCCAAGTTTGGAAACAAGGTGTTAATAGTTTTTGGTTTTCAGTACTGGAAGGAACCTGCAAATAATTTTTTTTTTTTTTAAATTTTTAGAGAGTGCATGAGCGGGGGATAGCAGAGGGGGACACACACACACACACACACACACACACACACACAGACACAGACTATTAAGCAGTCACCATGCTCAGTGTTGAGCTTGATGCGGGGCTCGATCCCATGACCCTGGGATCATGACTTTAGCCGAAATCAGGGGTCAAGTGCTCAACTGACTGAGCCATCCAGGTACCGTGGAATCTGCAAAATTTTTAAATGTCAAATGCTGTGATGTCTTCGTGTTATAGCATAGACAGATTTTATCTTAATTGGATAGCAAAACTCAAACAAAAGTATATATTATATAATGAAATCTATTTTCACAGTAAATCTGAAATTTGTCTTTATGTTTTAATATCTTTTTGAGAGTTTATAAAAATGCCAATCTTCTGTGGGAAACAAACTCACTGGCATATTCATAAAAGGGAATACAGGAAAGAAATCTGGCCTAACTTCCGTTTTACAAATGAGGAAACTGTGACCCAGAAAGGGAAATGACCAGGATCACACTTAATCAGATTTGGGAGCTAGAGCCCAGCCATGCTCCTTGGCTGAGTGCCTCTCCTTACTCTGTAGGAGGAGTTCATACCCCATTGTGACAAACATGATGTGAGTGTGGCATCAGATGTTGTTCAAAGATCTCTTCCTCATGCTAAAGTACTGGCAGGAGATAAGGAGACAGTGGTTCTTCAGGGTCTAGACAGGACTTTAAGAAAGTCTTAGTGATCAGAACTCTCCCTAAAGGATACAGACTTCTTTGGAATATAAAATGGTGAAATATTTTTTGGACGGGGAGGAGCTTAAGTAAGGGCTAGCTAGTCAATTCTTAGGATTGTTAAAGGGATTCAAACTGCTGAAGTCCCTTCTGTCTGTGGAGCTGCTGTTTTGGGTTACTCACTGCCTTTCAGCACATAAGTGGCCAGGAAGTATAGGGAGGAAGGGAACCAATCCCTCTTCAAGGTCTTCCTTTGAGTCAGGTATTGTGTTATGCATTTCATATATGTTGATTTACTTAGCGTTCACAACAAGCTTTGTAGATAGGTATTATTCTCAGTCTACCTCAGGTCACGAAGGTTAGGTGATTTGCTCCAAGCCACGCAGATAACAGGCAGCACCACTGAGACCATACTACACCATCTCTCATATCCGGATGAGTGGGCAGTTTGTCCCCTGTGTAGGTTGCCCCTTGGTGAGTCTTCAGAGCAAGGAATTCCCATATCCTTCCGGTGTGACTAACAGTGCGGATGAAGCTACAGTGGAGGCCTGGGGCAGGGACACTCCTACTAGGAGAAAGGCATTTTGGCTGGCACCTCTTCACAGAGGCTCCAGGGTTCCAGAGCTTTGCATAACAGGCACGTTCTCATTGAACAATGAGACCAAACTTTGCTTCCGACATTTTCAGTTTAATAGTTCACTCTGGGTGAAGAGACCTGGGATTCAGCTTTGAGGCAGGATTGGACCACAGCCATAGGAACTGGTTTGTGAAGGAAGCCTGGGACGATGGGATCTAGGGAGACAGACGGCATCTGGGACTCAAGTAGTTTGTGCTGCTCAATCAGCAAGACTGTTTTGACGTTCTTGGATAAATGGCCACTTCCATCAGGATCCAGCCAGTTTCTGATGCTCCAGGGAGCACGGGCCAGTCTCCCCTTGAGAGAGGGAGGCTGTGCTACAGGCAGACTCCAGAGAGGATATCCTGCCCCTGTGCCTTATCTTTCTAAAGCTGAGCCCTCCTCCTGCCCTGCTGTTATCACTCAGATTAAATGTTCTCCATGTTCCTACTGTATCCATGACTACATTTCTGCTTCCTGAAAAGTTGTGGCCATAGGTAGAAAAGCCTCACCAACCAGGTGTGGCCTACCTGAGGCATGTCCATCACCTTCCTACTCTGGTATCAGTCATGGCTACCAATTAGCCACAGTTTTAAGTGCCAGCTCCCTAGGCTCCACGGCCTGGTTCCTTGCCAGCCTCTTCACCTTGTAGCCACTGTTGCACCACCCATTCTGGCCACATCAGACTCATCCTTCCTTGACGAGATTCCATCCTTCCTGGTGTCCAGTCCTCTGTAGGATTTCATCTGGAATGCTCTCCCCACCCCATCCCCCACTCAAATCTTCATCTTCTCTCAAAGAACAGCTTCTGTGGTTAAGATCACAAAGCCACAAAACTGGCTTTAGCAAACTCCATTACAAGACACCCAGGGATCAAAGCAGTTGGATAAAGGGGATAGAGTTCACTTCCAGCTTAGAAGGCACTCAGAGGATTAGTATCTCCACGGAGATCTATGGAACCAATCTGCTTCCCTGAGGCACTCTCTTCGTTGTGCTGGGATCTGCACTACTCCTTCGGAGAAACTGGGCAGCTGTGTGACTGAGTCACACAGGCTGCCAGGGGCCATCCTGGAGCAGAGCTGTGTTTCTCGGCATGTCTCCCAGTTCCCCTTGTGGCTGGCTTTTGTGGCTGTGCTGGGATTCAGACATCTCTGTACTACATAGTGAGATGCCTCAACTCACTCAATCAGGATTTATTCACTCCAGTGTTCCTCCCACCTTGGCCCCATTCCCTCCCTCTTTTCCCCCTCCCATGATCACGGTATCAAAATAATCCTAAAACGGGATTGCTGTGCTTGAATTTGACACCTCCCACCATGCCTCCCACCCTCCACATGCTTTCGTGTTAGCTCCTGAAGCAGACAGTCCCCCTCACCTGCAAACCCTGCCCAGCACACACCTTGCCAAGTTGGAGCAAGTGCTGGTATCTAAGGCAATTTGTTTTGCTTGCCCTTACATCACCACCGATCTTACAAACTCCTGGTTGACCAAGCAGTCCTACCTCTAGCTTCCAGAAGAAAACCCAAGTGGGTGACTGGAAGGGCAGGAGCCAGGTCCCATTAATACCAGGGATCATGTCTTAGATCTCCAGCACATGTTCCCACCCCTCTCGTCTCCTGGGCTTAGCCAGGTCTTGCAGAATGAGGCTGTACTGAGATCCAAACACATGAGCTATTTGTTAGATGTTCCTGTCCCCTAGCAGATATTGAGAGTATGGCTGAATCTGAAGGGAAAGGGAAGAGCAGGTCCAATGCCCTTTAGATGAAGGTTTCTACTTCGAAGCAAGAGTGGTCTATGAACTTCTGATCTTCAAAACAAACCACGTGCCCGGGTCTGTCCACAGGACCCAAGGTCTTAGCTCCATTCTGAGCTGTGATGCAGACCAACCAAGCTCAGTGACAGCTCCTGGTTCTTCGCTTTCACGGGCGGCCTCTGCGGAAGCTTAAATTCCCGCCATGGGTGTCACTGCAGGTTGCTCCCTGCTCAGTTCCTGACACAGGCTTGACTAAGGGCTCTGAGCTGATGGGCTTGCTCCAGGTGTTACTCATCAGATGTCAAGACCACTGGCCCCAAGGAGCACCTGTGCACCTGGGATCTGAGCATCTCCACGTTGTCTTTGTTCCCTTCAAGATTTACATCTTCAGGGTCCCACTGTGGAGAAAAGACACAAATGGTACCTTGGTGGAACCAAGACTCTTCCCATCTCTTACAATGCCCCACCCCAAACAATAGCTCCAGTCCTGGTTCTCATGACCCAGGCACAGACAAGGAGAAATAAGGACAGGTTAATCAGGCCTAACGGGACAAGTATAAGTTTAAATCAAGGAATTAATGGACAGCCACCCTGAACAGACCAGCCCCACTTCCCTTCCTACCCCTCTTTTCCATCTTTACTCTAGTGAGACTGAGTTATGTTCCTTTTATCCTGAGACTTCCCACCTCCATGCCTAACTCATTCCTGGAATAGACCAGGCAAATTCAACCCTTTCTTTATGGCCCAGGTAAGTACCTCCTCTTCCAGGAAGCTTACCCTGACTGCTTTCACCCATTGAGCTCACCCCCTTCTGTCTTTGTACTGCCCATACCCTTCATTTGCAGCTGAACATGCACAGCCCTGCCCTTTCTCTGGGCACCACCTTGTCCTTCCAGGGAAATGATGAGCTTCTTAAGAGCAGGGCACCAGTTTGCCCTTGCTACCTGCCCCTCCTCCCACCATGCATTTCCTGTTAACTTGAGGCTCAGCAGACTTGTCCAAAACACTTAAAGCTTGATTCAGAAGGGTGGTCACTGGCAGAGAATATTTCATTACTCTGATTCAGACAAGTATGGGAAAGGTTAGGAATAAAAGGTTAAAAACAGAGAAGCAGTCATAGCATTGAGGACACTGTTTGCAAAGTCCTCCTATTGTTCTCATGTGACAAATGACAGAGAGAACTTTTCACATGGCCAAGAGCAGGGAATCCTTGGTGAGTCTAGCCATGGGAGCAAGTGGGGGTTGGACTCAAATCCTCTTTCTGCCACTAACTTGCTTTCTCTTTCTTGGGCCTCAGTTTCTCCAGGGGTAACCCGGAGTGTTGGATCAGTAACTACATATAATCTCTTTAGTTTCTGAGTTTCTATGACTAATGATTCTGAATGACAAGGTTACATTTGACATTATTAAAAGACCCAGGAAATAATATAGGAAAGGATGTGTTAGCCTAGACCTGACTATCTGTTTGGACAAGAAAACATAGCCAGTCGTGGACATGCACTCCACGAAAAACACTCCACCAGCAGCTCAAACTTAAGCTGAATAAAACAGCCCAGTCCTTAGGGGTCCTGGATAAGGTCTGCAAGGCTCCCTGAGCCACTCAGTGGGCATCACTGAGAGAAATGCCCCCACCATGCCAGTTGTAAAATACAAAATGTGGCTTTGTTTTTAATAGAAAGGAAGTGCCCAATTCAATTAGTGATTTACTGATAACTGAGTTCTACTACTTGCTGATTAAAAATAGTATCATGTTGGGGCACCTGGGTGGCTCAGTCAGTTAAGCGTCTAACTTTGGCTCAGGTCATGATCTCATGGTTTGTGAGTTCAAACCCGGCATTGGGCTCTGTGCTGACAGCTCAGAGCCTGGAGCCTGTGTCTCCCTCTCTCTGCCCCTCCCCCACTCACTCTGACTCTTTCCTTCTCTCAAAAATAAATAAACATTAAAAATAATAATAATAATAATAATTTGAAAAATAGCATCATGTTAAAACAGCCACCTCATCCCCAGTGACCCTGCAGGCCAGGGACTAAGCTGATTGGGTTGGTGCTGCTCGACCCCCAGTACCTGTTTGGGGCTCTGCCAGCCCCTCCAGTGCTAACTTCTTATTTGTGGTTGCAGACTTGGGGGGACAGCAAGAAAATCCCAAGTTAAAGAGCCCCCCTGGCCCTTCAGCCTCCGTGGTACAGGTGCCCAGCAGTGGAAATAGGGGCCTGTTCCATTCTTTGAGGATGGATAGTATGCTTTTCAATATATGCTGTTTCCAAGCTGAGGCCCATGTTCTAGATCACAGTTCTCTGAGTGTGCTATGGATCAACCTCACCAGAAGCAGCCAGGATGCTCATTAGGAAGGGTGATGCCAGGCATCCTAGACCCTGTCTGGTTTGGGAACTAAGGTTTAACATTTTACCAAGCTCCTTGCATGATTTTTAGCTGCCCTGATATTTCAGAACCCTGGCCTCTCCTGAAATGGCGTCTTAAGAGTTGTTCTTGCTACTTACTCCTGACCAATTCAGCTGCGGGAAAACAAAGCCACTTTGATCAAGTGCACTCTTTGAAGTGGGTTAAGCCTTTGAAAGCATTTTAAATCTCTTTCTTCTGAATCCCCAGAATAATGTGTTTAAAAATCTCACTTTAAGCAATAAAAAAACATTGCTGGAATCCAGGCATAAAGAAAATTTGAGCAAAAGATGATCTTACCAGAAATAATCCTGGGAGACGACATGCACAGGTGTTTGTCATAAAACATGTGCTTATCTGTCCCTCGCAGGCAAGGGTGGCAGGGAGACGGCTGCCAGCTGCCCAAGGTGACAGTGTTGGGGAATGGTTATCTCCACCCCTGCAGCCACCCCCAGCACCGCCACCAGTGGTAACCTGCAGCTACTCCACTTGTCCATGGACCTTTGTTCCAAACCATGCTTCTCCTTGGGTTACACATCTTTGGAGTCCCTACCAGATGGTTTGGGCACAGCAGAAAGAACTCTGAACTGAGAGAGCCTGGAAAATCCCCTGATCCTCTGACTCGCCTCTGTTTTCATTCTTTCTTTAACTAAAGGAATGTGGCATGGGCCCGGCCATCCAAGGGGGGGAGATCACAAAAACAGGAAATGGAATCAAGCCACAGGATGTCCCTTCTGGAATAGAGTATGATTGTCCATACCTGCTCCAAGTTTAAGGCTTCCCAGTACTTCTGCTGCAGAATAAAAAAAAGAGATGGAAAAAAAAGTGTTGGAAGGATTTTGCCAGCATCACAGAGCAGAGCAGAGCTCAGCACCAGCACTGTCTGCTTGGTGAGTGAGGAGGCAGGCCCTTCAGTGATCTGGAGGCAGAGGAAAAGCTGACTTCAGCAAGCAGAAAGGCAGCAGCTATGGTGGCTACAATTTAGCTAAATGATCAACAGGATAATTGTGATAATTATGAAGGGCTGCAGGTCCTTGGAAAAATTATACAGATTTAAAAATTACTATTATTAGGAAGTATTATCAGGCATAATAATAAATCTTCCATTTATTAACCACATGGCTGAGATGAGTCAACTCAAACCCATAAAACTAAAAGAGATGCAAATAAAATCCCCACCTCAAAAATACAGGACATTTGCTACCAGCCAAGATTCACTTTTAATCAGCCTTTACTGCATGGGTGGTTCCACCCCAAGGCTCAAACATGCCTGACTCGGGTTCTTGAAGGGTGGTGTGACGGTCCGCTCTGGTTCGTCTGGCACCTCACGCAGTGCCTGGGAGACGTGTGTTTCTGACATAGAGCGCTTATGAACCTACAGACGTCTGTCGTACCGATCTGTCAATGTCTGTCAAATTGAATAGCTGCCAACCTGCACAGTCCACAGGACTTGCCATTGTTGTCTCACATTAAGACAAATCCTCCCGCACAAAAACAGACACTCAGATCAATGGAACAGAGGAGAGAACCCAGAAATGGACCCACAAACATGGCGAACTAATGTTTGACAAAGCAGGAAAGAATATCCAATGGAATAAAGACAGTCTGTTCAGCAAGTGGTGCTGGGAAAACTGGATAGCGACATGCGAAAGAATGAACCTGGACCACTTGCTTACACAGACACAAAAATAAACTCAAAATGGATGAAAGACCTCAATGTAAGACAGGAAGCCATCAAAATCCTCGAGGAGAAAGCAGGCTAAAACCTCTTTGATCTTGGCGGCAGCAACTTCTTACTCAACACGTCTCCAGAGGCAAGGGAAACAAAAGCAAAAATGAACTACTGGGACCTCATCAAAATAAAAAGCTTCTGCACAGCGAAGGAAACAGCAAAACTAAAAGGCAACTGACAGAATGGGAGAAGATATTTGCAAATGACATATCAGATAAAGGGTTAGTATCCAAAATCTATAAAGAACTTACCAAACTCAACACACAAAACACAAAAAATCCAGTGAATAAATGGGCAAAAGACATGAATAGACACTTCTCCAAAGAAGACATCCAGACGGCAAACCGACACATGAAAAAATGCTCCACATCACTCATCATCCAGGAAGCACAAATCAAAACCACAATGAGATACCACCTCATACCTGTCAGAATGGCTAACATTAATAACTCAGGCAACAACAGATGTTGATAAGGATGTGGGGAGAGAGGATCTCTTTTGCACTGCTGGTGGGAATGCAAACCAATGCAGCCACTCTGGAAAACAGTATAGAGGTTCCTCAAAAAAATTAAAAATAGAACTACCCTATGACCCAGCAATTGCACTACTAGGTATTTATCCAAGAGACACAGTTGTGCTATTTTGAAGGGACACATGCACCCCCATGTTTATAGCAGCACTATCAACAATAGCCAAAGTATGGAAAGAGCCCAATGTCCATCGATGGATGAATGGATAAAGAAGATGTGGTATTTATATACAATGGAGTATTACCCGGGAATCAAAAAGAATGAAATCTTGCCATTTGCTACTATGCGGATGGAACTAGAGGGTATTATGCGAAGCGAAATTAGTTAGAGAAAGACAAATATCATATGACTTCACTCATATGAGGACTTTAAGACACAGAACAGATGAACACAAGGGAAGGGAAGCAAAAATAATATAAAAACTGGGAGGGGGACAAAACATAAGAGACTCTTAGATATGGAGAACAGAGGATTACCAGAGGGGTTGTGGGAGGGAGGATGGGCAAAATGGATAAGAGGCATTAAGGAATCTACTCCTGAAATCATTGTTGCACTATATGCTAACTAATTTGGATGTAAATTTTAAAAATTTTTAAAAAAGCCTCTACTGTTCAATTATTTTAAATTTCCATTTAAAAGATTTGTTTTAAATGTAAAATATTTTTAATAATTATTTTTTAATTAAAAATCCAACACTTAAAAAAAATTTTTTTTAATGTTTATTCATTTTTGAGAGGGAGACAGAGTATGAATGGGGGAAGGGCAGAGAGCAAGAGAGAGAGAGCGACAGAATCTGAAGCAGAGTCCAGGCTCTGAGCTGTCAGCACAGACATGGGGCTCAAACTTACGAACCATGGGATCATGACCTGAGCCGAAGTCGGACACTTAACCAACTGAGCCACCCAGGTACCCCAAATCCAACACTAAAAAAAAGTAATCTGTATGTCCAATGTGGGGCTCAAACTCACAACCCCGAGATCAAGAGTTTGCATGCTTTACCTACTGAGCCAGCCAGGTGCCCCTTAAATTCCCATTTTAAACAAGTTTTTAGGGGCACCTGGGTGGCTCAGTTGGTTGAGCATCGGACTCTTGATTTCAGCTCGGGTCATCATTTCATGGTTTGAGGGATTGAGCCCCTCATACAGCTCTGCACTGACAGCATGGAGCCTGCTTGGGATTCTCTCTCCTTCTCTCTCTCTGCCCCCCTTCTGCTCATTCTCTCTCTCTCTCTCTCTCTCTCAGAATAAATAAACATTAAAAGGGCACCTGGGTGGCTCAGTCAGTTGAGCAACCTACTTGGGCTCAGGTCATGATCTCACGGTTTGCAGGTTTGAGCCCTGTGTTGGGCCTTGTGCTAACAGCTCAGAGCCTGGAGCCTGCTTCGGATTCTGTGTCTCCCTCTCTCTCTGCCCTTCCCTGCTCATTCTCTGTCTCTCTCTCTCTCCAAAAGATAAACATTAAAAAAGTATACATACAAATTTTTAATTGTACATTTTTTAGTCATACATCAACAAAAGAATATCCAATGAACACCCATGGACATACCTTATCTTATTTGCTCTAGCTCCCCAATTTTTTTATTTGTTTAAATATTTTTAAATAAATAATTTAATCTGTAAATGTTTTAGTATGTCTCTCATAGATAAGGACATTTTTAAAAAGTGTTTGTTTATTTATTTATTTATTTATTTATTTATTTATTTATTTATTTTGAGGGAGAGAGAGAGTGCAAGTAGGATAGGGGCAGAGAGACAGGGAGAGAGAGAGAATCCCAAGCAGGCTCCGCACAGCAGAGCCGGATGCAGGGCTCAAACTCATAAACTGTGAGATCATGACCTGAGCTGAAATCAAGAGTTGGCAACTCAACTGACTGAGCCACCTACGTGCCCCATGGACATTTTTAAAAAAATCCTAACAACAGTGCCATTATTAGACTTAACAAAATTAGTGATAATTCCATAGTATTCATCTTTTAATGACATCCTGCTGGGGGAAGGAGACATAAACTGAAAAAAAAAAAAAAAACTACAGGACTAATTGGAAAAGATATGAAATCACAAAAAAAATGACAGTTCTACACACACTGCAAACGACAGAAATGTTGGTAAGAATGTAGTGGTTGAAAAGTGAAGTAACTTTTACAAATGTAACCGAACTAAAGAGACAAAAGAAAAGATGCTAACTTTCACCTTTCTTTAGAAAATACAGATGTTCATGCAAAAACAGCGACAGTAATCTGATGTTACCACAGTGAGTAGCTGTTTTGTTGTTAAAAAAATTATTAAATGCAATGTGCTATACTGAAAGAGAATAAGAATATTAATGGAAAAACTGGTGACATCCAAATAAAGTCTCTAGTTTAGATGATAGTAATGCACTAGTGTTAATTACTCAGTTTTGATATTTAACATTACGAGAAAACAGGTGAAGGCACACAGGAACTTTCTGTACTACCTTTGCAGCTTTTCTGTAAATATAAAATTATTTCAAAATAAAAAAACTTTAAAGTCAAGCAAATAAATAAGCAAACAACTAAACAGGCTTACGTGTCCCTCAAATGGATTGATAAGAAACCTTGAAACTTCCTTTCCAAATCTTCAGCATCATAATCTAAAATTTAAGAACCCTGCCCTCTAGTGGAAGTAGGAGAAGTTCCTTTTTTAAGCCGACGATGATAATGTGCCTAAGGAGCGGAATTAACCCAAATCTTGGTAACTGAGATCTCTCTCCATGCCCGTAAAAGTAAAAATAAGATAACATTTTTCTAATCCTTTCTTAATTTCAAGAGCAAAATATGTTAATTTTTGTACAGATTTTTCTCCAAAAACAAAATGATTCTAGCCCATGAATTTTACCCCAAGAAAAAACCTCCATGAACAGTTATTGATTAGCCCTCTGAAATACAAATGCATACACACACAAACCAAAATGTGCCAATGGCTTTTCTCCCTTGAGTATTACCACAGATCTTGAAATTGTCTTTAGGACCATGATTCTATCACCTCCATGAACCACACAGCACGTAATATTTCAACTCAGCTCATTTCTAAAGGCACACTTCTTTCTGCTTCTGAAACCAAGAAGCAACCTGTAGCCCCTGTTTACCAAGCAGGCAGTATATTTTCCTTTGCTCCTGAAGGCTTTTAGGAAACCATTGAGGAAACAGGGTCACTTTCCAGGATTACATTTTAGACCGTGTCATCTTACATTTAGGGAGAAGCGACTTTTCCCAAGACTGGGGAGGTGACATGGTGTTGGACTCAGGACAGATCATAAAATTTTTTGCTTCCTCTGACTATACAATGTTAAGACTGGCCAGGCACACACCAGCTACGATTCTCTCCCAGAATTCACTAAGTGGATTTCCTTTTGACCTGGAGCCTTTACAGACTTTAAAACAATTACTGTATGCTTCAAAATTGCACCCTTCCTATTTCTCTAGTTCATTAAGCAGTTCCATAGCACTTACCCCAGATCGAGCAGGGATTCACCTCCCCACGTGTTCTTTCCTCCTCTCTACCTGCCCTCTCT